CGCAGTTGAAAAACCACCTATTTCAGGTGGTAAAACCATACCATCCAAACCATCATAACACCACCTAAAAACGGTCTGACCGGCCTAAAAACAGGCAGTAAACCGCCCATTAATTGTCAGTTAACTGGCAATTAACTTGGTGGTTTTCAATGTCCTGGGAGGGATCTTAGATCCAAAAGATAAAAATCAGAATACGAAGCTTTTGCTGCTCAGATATTTAGTTATACCTTTTTAAACAATAAACGTCAGACGACTCTAAAATACATTAATTCTTCCCATCCTGGAAGATGTTTCTTTCTCTTAAGTTATTTTATGAGTAGACGCAAAGTACAGAAAACTTCAGAATTTTTCCCAGTTCTCGAGCGCTCGTATGTACAAAGTACGTCTAAGCTCGTAGACTACTATAATCGATCGAAGAATGAGCAGTTTCTGGTATAAGGATCCAAACAAGGAAGAGTTATGATGAACTATTCGGATATTATTGTCCAGTGCCTACTACCGGAACAGAAAGCGATATGAATGGGATACAATACATGTGCTATGAGTCGAGTCAAACTTCAATTTAAATCCACATCAAATCAGAAAAATTCAAAAATCAGACGATCAGAAACGAGGCAGAAAAAAGTTCAAAATCAGAAGATCTGGGATTCCTGAAGAACACATTAGAGTTTTCTCTTTTAACGTATATTCGTATCCGACATACGGCAACATACAGACACATTTGGTTATAGTGGAAAGAAAAATACTCTTGCTTGTCAAGTACCATGAATCATCCATAGAGTACATATTTACCTATGTATTTACTTTATTTATTAGAATTTTGCAGGTCTTTATATGATCATATAATCTCTCTTGCAGTTAATCAAAAATCAACTAGGTTTTTCTGGCGATATCTTGAGTTACAGATTCTGGATTTTAAAATGCGGGCAAAAAAAAAATACGTACAAAAACATCAAGAAAGAAAACTGATTTTTGTAAAAATCTTGATTTAATCAAATTTGAACACGATTTTTACACGACGAAACTCCAGGCCGTGAAAAATGAGATAAAAAATGAGTCATTCATGACTCATTTATGTGCCATATATGGCTCATTTTTAAATCATATCTCTCCCATATTTATCTCATTTATTGTATTATAACGTAGTCATAATTATGTCATTTTTTTATTCGATAAATATCATCTTATTATGGTCATCAAAATATGAGCCTTTTATGATCCTGTTTAAATCATTTTTGGCTCATTTTAAGACTATTTATGAGATAAGAAATGCAAAGAAGAAAAAATACGAAACAGCTCGTGCAGAGATTCGAACCCTGAACCTATAGATCAGAAGTCTACGATGCTATCCACTACATCACACGGCTATACAAATATATAGGTTTTTGTTCCTTCTGTTTTGGGATTTTCACTAAAAAAACTAGTAATTTTGATTAATTAGCCTCTAGTTTTTTCCACAAACACTGTAGAGAGTTAAGCCTAGAGACTAATAAATAGTAAACTTAATTTTTGACCTTTTTTCACTTCTAGTCCCACCTTGGAAAACACTTCCTTCATGGCGAAAAATGGAAAATAAAGTTTAAAAAGGAGTTATCATCCTGAAGAAAGGGTTTTCGGGGGTCGACGTCGGAGTAAAAAATATCAGAAATTAACTTTACTATCTTTTAGAGTCTAGGCTCAACTCTGTACAGTGTTTGTGGAAAGTGGTAGAAGATAAATGCGCATAATTCCATAAACAGTGCTACTTTCGTTTGTGTCATAATGTCCCATAAATATCTAATCTAATACACATAAATAATATGATCTAATTATGATCATAAAATGTGACAAATATAATTGTAAGAAAATGATGATTTTAGATTAGAAGTTTAAAATGATTTAAAAATGACACATAAATGTCACATCTATGATCCTAAAGATATGATATAAAAATGATACATTGATAGATCATTTTTAGATGATCATACTAGGATCATATTTAGATCATTTTTACAAATTATATAATATATACATCATTTTTATCTCATTTTATGAAATAGTCTTAAAATGACTCAAATATGATACCATTTTAAGCTCATATTTAAATCATTTTAGGATTATAATATGATGATCATTTTCACTTCATATCATAAATGAGCCATACATGTCTCGTTTCCTCCGACCTGGGTCATTTTCTCTAGAATGGATAACAGAATGAGAGAAAATTTGTTTTCTATCTTGCGTCGTAACGACCGGTCATTAAATCTTGCATAAAGAGAGAAAGCTTCAGAAGGGAAAGAGAACAAGGAATTTTCTTTGTTTCTCTTTCTATTCGTTTGATGGGAATTTTCCCTCTTTTCTTTCTGCGCACGCTCTTCTTAAACCGAATGTGTGCGCATTTTGTCGTATGTGACATAAATACGATACGTTATACGCTGAGAGTTATAATATAAGACTCTAATATATAGTCGACCGTACAGTCATTTTTTATTCAGAGAAGGAGAAGTTAATAGTAGTCGTGATCACCATAGTATCTTAGATTGTATCCTTGATCTCTTTTTCATCGTTTTATACTCTTCTTTTCATTATGTTTTTTATTATTATTTTCTAAAATATATTCACTATTTAGTGGCATCATTCTAACAAACAGGTGAGTAGATTGCGCCTTCTCGCCTTTCTTTGGGAGCAGAAAGAGTTTAACATTAGAAGTCAGTGGTCCGGGAACGAAAAGTTAACATAATACTTTTGCTTTGACATGTAATATCTGACATAAACGAAGACAAATAAATAGGGTAGAAAACCATGAAAGATAGAACGCATGTAACTATGAACTTTCATTTGACTGGAGAGAAAAAATTCCTAAATGGTAAATGACGGAATAATAATAACTAGTTCTCGATGTAATTGTTGAGTAATACAATAAGTGGACAGGTGGTAAAGAAAATGAGGAACCAACCTAGTCACTCACCTATATGTTTTGACCATTCGTTTTAGCGCGGTTTTAGCTTCAAAATATCGTGGGAAAGTCTGTTTACGAAAAATTTACCGCGAGAAATTCGTTTAAAACTAAAGCGCCAGAATCGCGTTTGAGCTAATCATAGGTTGCGCTATACGCACTGAATTTTTCGTAAACAGAGTTTCGCGCGATACTCTGAAGCTAAACTCGCGCTTTTTTTAGAAAATTCGTCTTTTCGCGGTACTTGAGCGAATCTCACGTTTGTCGCACTGCATTGGTGGTATAGTCAGAATTTATATAGAAAAAACCCAGAGGCCCCATAGTATACCTGATATAGTTAAAGGTTAAGTTTCCTGAAGCAACTTTTTGCGAGGAATCCAATGGCAGTCTCAGAAATTCTTAAAAATGTTTCTACCCCAGAACAAGTACCCAGTCAGTCATAATCATCTTAAAAAAGCGTGAAAAACGCGAGTTTAGCTTCAAAATATTGCGCGAACTCTGTTTACGAAAAATTTACCTCGAGAAATGCGTTTAAAACTAAAGCGAGAGAATCGCATTTGACGTAACCATAGATTGCGTTAAACGCGCTAAATTTTTCGTAAACAGAGTATCGTGCGATACTTTAAAGCTAAACTCGCGTTTTTCCGCGCATTTTTTTTAGAAAATTCGCTTTTTCCCGGTTCTTGAGCCAATCTCGTGTTGCATTGCGTTGAAAACGCGTTTTTCACTGATTGTTTGTTATAGAAATATCCATTTTCGCGACTTCAGTCGATAAGATCGATGACTCATCCCTACCACATAAATTTTGTGACGATATACAGTATATATATAACCATCGGCGAGCCGGGGTCATCTTTTTTAGTGTGACAAAATTATTAAAAAATGCAAGAAACTTCTAAAAAAATAGTCATACAGGAAAACCCATAACAAATAAAAGTTTTTGGCGTGGCAACTGCCACACTTTGCCACAATGGTGACCCGCCACTTTATAAAATATCATTCTCTTTGAACAACTTAAATCTTTCTCTCCCCAACTTTACACGTCAGCTGAGCACATATGCGCGGCTGAAAAACGTGACAAAAGACGGTCCTATGGCCGCCTAGAATCTGTGCATGTTAGAAATTATACAGAAAAAGAAAATTGCAGAGCTACAGAGGGATTCGACAGGAAATGATCAAGTGTATGATCTTGTAAGATTAGAGTGCTGAGGATGTACCATTAAAATGGTAAATTTATGCTGGTAAAAAACACTGTTGGCTTACTGATAAGGAATGAAAAAAATTGACGAACATCAGTCAGCGGTAATAAAGTTTGAAGATAGAAAAATGAATCAACCGCAGAAATTATGACGTAAAGGAGAAACGCAATTGTATGCCCGTTGTGAATAAGTGTGCAATAGTAGGTGTTAGTTTAAACTGGTTTATTTAAAATCAGAAGAAATGATCAATACTGATCACAAGCAAATGGGGAGACACTTATAATAGTTAGTAATTATTATTTCGTATAGATGAAAAGCAGAATTTAAGCAACAACAAAAGATGTTGCGTGAATCCAGCATTCATGTAACTCTTATATTAATCATTTTGGTGTATTTTCTCACCTTTATCCTCGTCGTAATTCATAATCATTCATGACGCATACAATATCGCAGTTAAGTGACGGAAATGAGCGACTTTTTTTTTACATTTGTTTAAGATAAATTTTTTCCATTATACTAATATGCCTATGTGTATATATATCAATTGCTAATATAGAAACTTATTACGTCATTTAACTGATTTCACACTTTGAATCTTGTGATAGTCTCCTATTTTTGCGAATAATGAGTACGACAACCAAACCACAAAATACAAAGAACAATGCAATAAAACGTATTATGAGGTATGTTGAATCACAAGCTTCTCTGAAATACAATTGTAATTGTTTATAGAGATCGCAAGGAAATTTACAACACTCCAATACCGGGGATTGGGGTTGATTGTCCGGACGAAAGTAATCCATTTATTTTTCATTGTAACGTTTTGATTAATGATGGTCCATATCGTGGAATTATGATTCATTTAATCCTTCATATACCCGATGATTATCCAATGACAGGACCAGGTATGAATTAAAATTCCTGTTGTCTATCGCTAGTTTTAACAGTGAAAACATACTGTCAGTTCATCAGTAGATTTGCTTTTTGTTTGTTTAAGCGGGCAATATTGCACCTGGATTAGAGTTCGATTCACGTTACCATGGCCACATACATCGTGACGGAAGGTATAATATATTGTGAAACTGATCAATTACTTCAACGGATCTTTTTTCTCACTATTTAGGAATGGACATGCCCTTTGTAATGATCTTCTGACAAACTATGCGTCATATTTTCAAGCGGTAGATCATGGTGGTGCCAAAACAGCTAGTGGATGGAGGTTGTATTTTTTTATTTCGTATTCGTATTGTTCAAATGTTTTCTCTTTATTTCTAGCCCCGGTTATACATTATCAACAGCACTTTTGCAGATTGTAACGTTTTTCGCCGAACCAGATCTGATTCATCCTGCGTCTCTAAACAGTATTGATCATTTGCATAACATGGTGAAAACATTTAAATGTGTTGATTGTGGTCATTGTTTCGAAAAACCAAATCCGCCCGTTTCAGATTATACCACAACAGCTGCTGACGAACAAGAAGAAGCACAAACATTGTCGAAAGAAGAAGAACAAAGATTAGAAAATGAACGTAAGCGTGTAGCATTTGAACGTGAATTATTAGAAAAATTAACATGTGGAGTAACAAAACAAAATATAAAAGACGATAATATTTGTCTTGGTTATCCACTGCTGATTACCCGTGACAAGTTTGGACGATTATGGCCAGAAATTATTTTAGAGCTAATCTCGTACGATGCATACGTATCTGAGATACAAAAAACTGGACAACAGAAATTAGACTACTATGAACATTCTAAATTTCGTTCAGTTACGGGAAAAGATTATAATCATTGGCTTCCCATTTACATTAACGATAATCATTTTGAACGAGGTCGAACAATAATACAAAACAGTATTAGTGTTATTCATAACGGCACTGCGCAAGGTAGTCAAAAATTTGATTTTGTACCTCGTATGGCACTAAAAGTGTTAACAACGCTAATGAATAAAGCAAGTGTAAGTGAACGTTGTAAAGTTATCTTGAGCGCTTTTTCCATTTTTCCAATAGGCGATTCAAAAACATAGCCTGTAACTCCTATAGAGATTATGATAATTCTTATCTGTAGCAATATTTCATTATAAATCTCTGTGATTCAACTATAACGTTTCATTTTTACACTGAGGAGACAAATTATTGAAAACTTTTTAATAAGGGAGTGTCAGATAGAGCAGTTTTAACAATTTACGGCACCTATAAGAACAAAAAAAGGTCGTTACCTATCACCGAAACAGCAATAATAAAGTTCGTTTTGAGATGCTGAAAAGTGCTTTTTCATATCCAGCACACTCGATAATTCCGAAGATTTTTTGTTTTTGACGATAGGTACCTCGAAAAGTTGAAGAAAAATTTTGTAAACAAAATGGTGCAAAACATTTTCCATGGGAAAATAATATTAGTTTGAAAATTTTTCCTTGAACTTTTGGAAGTATCACCCGCTGAAAATAGAAAATCGTCTGGGTTATGGTGTGTGCTGAATACGAAAAAGCATCAACCCAAAACCAACTCTACTTTTTTCTGATGATATAATTTATAATGAAACAAAAGGCTACCATCATTCATCTTTGTAGGAGTCTACTAATAACAAGCTTAATTGAAGGTTTTCGATCCAACAAGTGTCATTCTATGTCTTTCCATCCTTTTTTCTTTAGGTTCAATTGTTCAATGGACAAATGTACGAAAGTAAACATGCTATTGAATCGTTTTGTCATTTTTTACGTTTGTTGATGCATTTTATCGATACCTATCCGGAACTGGGTAAGCTACCATTGATTCTTATTACTTCAGTTTCTCTGTAAACGAGTTCAATTACTATTATTTCATATAATAATTTTAGATAATGAAATAAATTTGACTATTGAAAATTTTAAGAAAAATTTACAGAGTCGTAATAAGAAGGTTATTCCAGATATAGGTGAATTTTTATTTCAAATAGCCTTATCTACAAAATATAAATTAAACGATATCAAAGACTATGTCTATGAAGAGTATTTTGCTCGACAAATATATTGGATTCAGCGGAATGCTAATGTTCCAAATCTGTTAGAAATACAAGCAAAACATTTGCCCGACATATTCAAAGCCACCAAAGTATCCAATCATTTATTAGTATTTAATCTAGAAATGACTGAAACATTCATATTTTCTGGTGTAAAACAACGTCTTGATAAATTATTTGGTTATCCTCCTAAGATTGTTATTGAAAAATTTCAAAATCGTTTAAAAGCAATAAAAACCATTGATAAATATTCTGATTTTATTGATGCTATTAAATTAAATAATTTGATCACATGTCCAGATGATATGTTAAATCTTATTAGACGTTCGGTAGACATATCCAATAAACAAGGTTATACAAATATACTAACGATTGCTGAGCAACAAGATCAAGCTTTTGAGCTACGACAAAAACAAAATCAACAACAAAATACATATTATAGTAAAGGAAACAAATAACAGAATGTTATGTATCGTACATTTTCACTTTTTTTTTCATTATTACTTGGTTTTGACCATAGTTTGATATGTTTTCATAACACTTAATCATGGACAAGAGCTTCATATTTCTAGTCGATTTTTTTGTTTCTTTTTTTATGAAGATGTTTAAAGAAATTTTATGTATTTTGTTTTTCCTTAGGCTTATGGATGATGGGTTTGTAATAAAAAACTTTTTCTATGGCAATTTTAGTGTTTTTGTTTTATAAACGAGTTTGTTTTCTTGTTTTTTTCTTGATTTTTTGTGATGTTAGTAAAATCACTCTTTGTTTGACAGAGCATTAGCAACGACATGAAAACTGTTTTGCAAAACTATGTTATATCAATAAATGGAAAAATGCATTAGAAATAGTATATAATATAGCATTTTTTTAATAGTTATTGTTCAGAAAATTAACGAAATCGCTTTATTTTTCGATATGCATATATGATAAGATGTACCTGATGTTTTGAAAGAATTACGCATACGGACGATTGGATATATCTTTATTAAGGCAACATTTTGACATTTTGTTTTTATTAGGAAACGAACGATATTTTAATTTAGTCTAGATCAATTTTAAATGCGTACACGCTGTATGAAAAGTTGATTTTGCAGAAATGTGCGGTTTTTGGCCACACTAACGCAACGCCAGAAACTCCATGGTTCTTATATGCGTTTTCTTGCGCTACTTCACAAAATGCTTGTTCCTGTAAAAAAAGGTGTAAAAGAACTGATGCGTGTGATGTGAAGTGCGACCCGAAAGTTTTACTACTGATTTTTTGCAAAACAATGAACGCTAAGTTCTGCAATTTTTTGCATTAAATGTCTCTCCAAAAATCGGCATGGGTAGTCCGCCAAAATATACATTTACGTTGCAAACATGTTGATTGATGTCTCGAACAAAAACTATCGTCATTATTTTGAAAAAACTGTCAATTCGTTATTATAAATTCGGAATTTTGGGAAGGAAAGTAAAAACTTCTGCGCTGCCTTGCCTTAGAGGTGATGCAGGTAGAAATTTTCTTATACATTTTTGTGTGTATTTCTTTTTTGGTTAAGTACCGACACTATTCCATGAGTAAATTATGTTTTACCTTATCTTTCTTTAAATTTTTATAGCATTTTCTTACTTTTTCATATCGCAAATAATATTAAAACCAGAAATATGTGTGCATAGAGACTGAAAGAAGATTCAAAAGCAAACAAGTATATTCTTTGCCTTCTGGTCTGTTAAAATAAAAGAAAAATGGATTAATATACTTTCATATCAACTGTATACTTTCTCCTCAAAAAGCTTCCGTACGAATATATTCAAACTTCATCCGTTCTGCTGAATAAATGTGCTCATAAAGGTACCTTTTTCGAAAAGAGTACATATGCAAAAGTTGTGTGTTTGTCTAAGAACAGATCAAATCTAGAGGTATATAGAAAGACTTATCTCGTTATTAACAAATCTGTGTAAGTGGTTTGAGTGCACTGTTCACGAATGTATCATAAAATGGTGCGAAGAGAAAGGTACAAAATCCTCGAATAGTCAGATTTTAGCCTAGACAGGAGTTTTCAAACGAGCATCCTTTCGATATGTGAAGATTTGAGGTTGACGATTACAGTTGTAATCGACCGGCGTTAATCGTTTTTATTTATTTCTGCCTGCCTTTGATAAAATATGGTATCCGACCTTGATAAAAAATGTATACGGGGTAGATATGCCAGTCGATCTTAAATGGATCTATGGGCGGTTTGAAGGCCGGAGTTTTTTTATTCACTACGGAAATGTTGTGCCACGTGTTATAAAAATGAAAGTAAAAACACCCCAAGTCTCTATTCTTGCGGCTACTTAGTTTCGATTTCATTAACCTTTTTAAAGGAACAAAATAAATTATTCAATTTTAAAAAGAAAAAAAGAAAAGAAATAGGAGAAAACAATAAGATGACAATGATGTGTCATCCATTAAAAAGCAATAACAAATTTAACGCAATGCTATTACTTAACAATTCGTTTTAGAAAATTCTTCTTTGTTGTTTTTGATTTTAGCAAAAAAAGAGAAAATGTCGATGATGTTTGTTGAACAGCACGAAAGATGAAACCCTTATACGCAGCTTTCTCTTTCATACTCATTACTATTAGTGACACTTGTATAAAAAGAATGATGAAATATGTAATTGGTTATAGTGTCTATAACCGTATCAGTCTATATATTCTTTTCGCTCCTGTTGTATATAACACATAAAATAAGTGGAACTGCTGATGTAACAGGCCTAATTATATATACGAAACAAATAGTCATTCCAGAAAAGCGCAGGAAACTCTATTTACGAAAAATTTTACGCGTTTAGCGAGTTTCGAATAATAACGCTCAAGAAACTGCGAATATGTAAAAATAAACCGCAGGAACACGCGTGTAAAGCTTTTGTTTCCATGGCAATGTGCGTTTCCTAAGGTTTATCTAAAAATTTGAGTCCATTTTTTTTGCAAAAACCGGTAGTAATATTTCCGTGATTCACGCATCATCACAGACATGAATTTCTTCTGTGTTCTTTTGCAGAAACAAAAATTTTTACGATAAAATGCAAGAAACGCATCGTTTATGATACATAAAATATTAGTGTGTGTGGAGAAGACAAGCTTTTCACGTTTAACACATTACTATAAGTGCAGTCGTACTTTTTTGAGTAGCAACTTTTACCTGAAGCTGAATTTTGTTTCGAAAGGTACACCGTTGTGAGCTTTTTCAGACGGCTGGGTTTTTCATAGTACAGCTCCAACTGTTCTCTATCAAATGCTGAAATCCGCAGATCTTTTATCTCATTCCTATCAAAAGTTATTCGAGAAACGGTAGTGTGCCTTCTGTTTTGAAGCAGATAGTACTTCAGAATATCATGATATACTCTATTTTAGTTGTATTGTATCGTAAAACGTGTACGGTAGGTTGCAAAAGCCAACAGAAAAACTTCGTGTGGATAATCTTTTTAGTTAGACCATATGCGTTGTCAAATTGAAGACACTCATATTAAGTTGAACACAAGTAACTCCTTGATTGAGCTTCAGCGCGTATTGATTTAAGTTTAAATAGTATCCTTATTAGTCCATGTCGGTTTTTTTAAAGATTTTTGCAGAAATGTGCGTTTTTTAAGCTTTTCGGTGAAAAATTTCCTTAGTGATTTTCTTAAGTGGCTCCACTGAGCTTGAAGGAGATCGAGGCTTGTCGAACCTGCCTGAGAAACATCGCATAAAGCTCTCCTTTGTCGCTCCTAGATCGCTCTAATGACTAGACAGCTAATTTAAAATAATTTGTCTGAATAAACTGCTTGGTCAATTTGTCTAATTTTAATTTAAGATTCTGTACAAAGTCTTCTTCAGAGAACATTTACATTCTTTGTTCAAAGCCTTTAGGGTTCCCAAACCATTTGAGGTTTTGTAGAAGTTACGAAACCTTGCTGATTTCGGGTACTAACTACGAAAATTCTGAAGGGTTTCGTATTAAGTACGAATCCCTTAAGTTCCGGAAAAAGTCATTTTTGTTTACAGTGTAGGTTTTACATCTGATTATTGTACTTTATTCTAAATACTGACATTGCCATGCAATTTAGCATAGTTGATAATCTGTAAATCTATGTATTTTAAGGATTTCCCGACCGAACGATGAACCAATCCGTCTGTTCCGAGAAACTGCTGCCCCTGAACCAGTCAGAGATTTGCCTCTGGTATCATGATTTTACATTACTTTTAAACTTTTGAACATGAGCTGTTTGACATCGTCACATAATGTTGTATTTAGAGCTGCAGATGCCCATGCGTTAATGCTATCTGCAGTACACAGCTTGCTTTGCTGACTTCGCAAAAATGCCTGTACAAAGTTTTCTGCTGCGTTTGAGTAATTTTGCTTCTGGATGTTAAGGCATCCGATTTCTTTGTATGTTTCTATTAACAGGGAAGCATCAAATGGGTTACAGATCAATTGTAGTTGGAGTGATTTTTCGTAACTAATCAATGCTTCATCAATATCACCTTGATTGCGATGAATTTTGGCAATATTATTATATATTGAAACAAGTAGTTTATCATCATATTTATGTGATCTTCTGTACACCTGTAGAGCTTTTTCGAAATATTCAAAGGCAGCAGCAACATGTCCGGAAATTGCTTTCACTATTCCAAGATGGTGGTATGAAGCGGCTACAGATAGCTCATTCCGCGGGCGTAAAGACTCTGCACTTTCCACTGCTGCTTCAAAATAGGACTGCGCCGTCGTTTGCTGACCAATGCGACTGTAAACAACGCCAAGATGATTATAACATGATGCAAGATATCGATTGTTTGAAGAAGGCTTGGATAAAATTTGCAGTGCTTTAAAATGACTATTGAGAGCTTGTACGTGCAGATTCTGATTTTGAAACGCAATACCAATATTGTTATAATTCACGGCAATTAGTGATTGGTCAGACATGTTGCAGTTCTTCAGAACCTCTAACGATTCATGATGATACAAAGAAGCTTCAGCAAATCTTTTCATGCTTGTATGTAATACTCCGATTCTATTGAAAACGATTGCATACAGTTTTTTCGAATACTCAGTTGTGCGACATCGTTTCAAAAGTTTCACCGAATAACTTAGATGACCGAATGCTTTCTCATATTCACGCATATTTTCATAAACGAGAGCAAAGTTGTTGTGTAATGTTGCTTCTATAGTACTGTTCAATATATTAACATCATTTTCAATAACTTTCAATGCTTTTTCGTGATAACTTAAGGCTGTTAAATATTCTTGGAATGTATTGTAAATATTTCCAATTTCTGTCAAACACTGTACGATGGATGTATTATTTAATGATTGATCTTTAAGTAATATTTGATAATAACTAAGTGCTTTCTCTGTTTTGTTCATATGAACAAATATTTGTCCAAGCACAAATAAACTTGATTTATTATCAAATTCAGTTTTCAAACTTCGTACTAGAATGCTATCTCGTATTATACAGTTATCGAAGCTTTTCAGTTTTATAGTCCAAATATCTTGATCGTATACAATGGATTCTATCTGAAACATCGTACCAGGCATTATCACCAACTGATTTGTGTTAGATAATAGAAATGTACGAACATCAGCATTTATAGTTATCTCGAATAGCACTGTTTGAACGGATGTTGTATGTGACCGCACAAATGCACACGCTGCTTCCCTATCAAAGCGTGTTATAATAAAAGTATTTATTGATACTAAACTGCCAATTTTCTCTTTTAATTGTTCGATTTCGTTTACGTTCATCGTTTGACTACGATAAGTGGTCAGTATTTTCGACTCATTTAGTGAGCCCGATTGAGTGTTCTTATTAAGATCTTGTAAAAATCCACGAAAACAGTATAACGCGGTAATATCTTCTGTACGTAAAGCTTTGTTTAGCAGACGATAGATGAACGAATCTTTTGTATACCATTTCACGGCATCTTCGTAACGATAAGTTCGCTCAAATTCATCAACTTTCTTAAGGTCGTCAACGCTTTTATTGTACAGCAGTGAACAGTGATTGATAAGATCTTTCATGGCGTATTTATGCGGTGCATGTAACAATACACCAAAAAGTAATTGATATTGAAGAAATTCTAATTCTGTATCATCAAGTTGATACCATAATTTTTCTATAATAGATATATTAAAGATGTTTGATAATCGAAAATCAGATTTAATTGTACTAGCGTAATCGATTTTTATTTGTTCACACATACTTCCGACAGTATTATATATAGTAGATGTAATTTTATCATTCTTTAACGATTTCTCATTTAAAGTTTTTTCACATAACACAAAAACATGCTCGATCTGTAGCATCTGATTCAAGTAATCCATAATCGTTTCATCTAAATCACCGCACAAAATCAAAAATAATTGTTTCTTTGACCAATTTTCGACGCAATGTACACATTTTATTACATCATCAAAATGAATAATGGTAGTAAATAAAGAATCTAATTGTTTAGATACCATTTTAAAAGTCGAATCATAACGATTGTCTGTGCTCAATTCGAGCCAAATCAAATAATAATCTTGTTTAACATCAGTTCTTATAGCTGCTATTCTTCTCGGCATTTCGAGTCGTTCTTCCACTTGTACGCCAAATTTAACATCTCGATCTCGGGAATACCAATTGTTAATAATCAAATCTGAATCATTCTTATATACTAAAATGAAATATTTCAACGTTCACTCTCTGGTATTTTGATTCTAAAAATTAGACACATACCGTTTGTAATACTCCTTTGACTAATTTTTTCCTGATTATCAACTGACGGGTGTCCATATGTCATTACCGGTTGATCCAAAATTTTATAAAGAACGCCTGTTTTCATACTCCGTTTTAATTTTAGTTTCACATGTCACAAGAACGATAACTAAACAAAAAAAACAAAAACTCATCATGTTTGTAGACATAAAAAATATGTGTATATACTACATCTGGGCATTAGTATTTGAAAAAGTTAGTCAACATGCACTATAACTCCTACGTATATTCAGTGTTCTTAGCATGCATACTTTAGCGACAAGAGAGCGTACTACATTGAATAGTGTTCTGCACAATTACACTAATCCTGTTAGAATAATATATTACGTTAAATATGTGAAAATAAAAAGCATCTGCAAGTCGTTGTCAGTGCTGACTAACTCACCTGTATAATTTTTTTTTCGTACAAAATATTATCGTACGAGTCATATGATAGAGAAAAGAATAAGAGCGCATGGTACTTCCAAACTTTATTAATGTTTTTTTTTATTTTTTTTATTTTCTTCCCTCTCTGTACGCAAAAAATTCAGCCTCTTTGTTTTACATTTGCCATGTTGCTTAACAGTTGTGTTTTTTTCTGTTCTTCGTGTATCACTTGGAATTTTCTCCTGTAATTTCAATAGTAGTTGATTTTTGTTCCTTTTCTGTCGATTTTTATAACCTACTTCAGCTTGTATATAACCTGTTACATACCTCAATAGTCATTTTTTTCTACCTAGTCCATCATGTCCTTCCTTCACTCTCACTTATCACCACTTCTTTTTGTGAACAGAGCGCACAAAGATAACTTATTCTTACGCGTTATCAAGAAAATTCAATATCTAATAATAAACAGAGATGTCTTCAAAGCTTACGTACTATTATAGAGGTTATCAGTCACACCCTGTTTAGAGGAAAATGCAACTTATGATCACTCATCACGACCAACAGAAAGTTGGATATCTTTATGTGAATTAATTGGAAATCTTGCTCGTTTCAAAAATAAAAAAAGCTAAGATTATTACTCTACAAGTAACTCACGAGGAATCCAATCCAAGTGATACCTTCTGATTTTCTTGATTCACACGTCGATCGGTAAAGGATATCGAGCTAGTAAAAAACCTAAAAGGATTTTCCCCCATGACTCTTGAAGACCCGTTTTCCTGGAAAACCGGTTTTTCAGAAACTCTAAAAACTAAGCAAAACCTTTCTTAACGGGGCACTATTGTCGCCCGCAAATTTCAGATTAAAATGAGACATCTCCGAGCTCTGCACGACCTTTCTTTGCAAAGTTTTAGAATTTTCAAGAAAAGCCCTAAATGTTCATTGTCAGCTCAAAACTACAGAAAGAAATAAGAATAAATTAATTTAGGGCTTTTCTTGTAAATTTTATAATTTTGCAGAGAAAAGTCATGTAGAGCTGGGAGATGTCTCATTTTACTAAGAAATTTGTGGGCTACAATCATGTCTCGTAAAGAAAGGTTTGGGTTTTCTGAAAAACTGATTTTCCAGGAAACAGGGACTTCGAGAATCATGGGAAGAAAAATCCTTTTAGGCTTTTTAGTAGCTCAATACCCTCTATCGATTGACGTATGAACGAACGAAATCGGAAAGTATACTTGGAAAGCGTTCCTCGTCCGTGTCGTTCGATGTCGTGCAATACTTCGATTACGGCGTTAATGAATATATGGATTGTACACTGCTAATCGATCGATAAATTTAAGAAATTGATATAGACGTCCATAGAATTTTAAAATGCTATTGAAATGGGTGAAAATAACATGTTCTGTAAAGAAAATTAATGGCTTTTTCAGATCTATATAGATACGAAATCTCATAAAAGTGCTCAAAAAACAAGAGGGAAACAGTAGTATGTAAAAACAGTTTCGGTATGTAATCGGTATTTTCGCCACTCTTCCAAGACGATTCATTTGTTTTTGCTTTAAAAGCTCATTTGAGGACTTCTTGAGATCTCAAAAAACAGCTTTCTAGATCTCCAGAAACCCGGATTTCTGTTCCCACAAGCAGAACAAAAGGATTCTGTCTGTGAGAAAAGAACTCTCAGAACAGAACACAATTGCTCCGTTATCAGGGAAATTTTCCGAATATTGTTCTGTTTTGGGAAACAGAACTTTCAGTTGGTATTTGGGTACCTCGTTCTTATCCTTGAACAGAGCATTTGGCTAGGAGTCATCTGAAAAAATAATCTTGTTGAATAACTAAATAATAAAAAATAACGTGTTAGTCATTGTTCGATAGAATATTTCTCACAAAAGTGAAAATCAACCGATGAACTGCAAATTATTGTAGTTTTGTAATGATGTCGACATTCATGAAATGACATGTTTTACTAGAAGTACAAGAAGTAGTTTACAAAGTATTTTTCGTAAAGAGAAAAAAATCCATGCTAGTACACGTTCTTTAACGTTGCCGAAAGTAATTATTTAGAAATTGACATATCTAATATGTTTTTACCGAAAAACTTTCAATAAATTAAAGAAAGATACTCTATAGTTTTGCTGAGGTTTTGTTCTTAACACTTAATAGTTCTTTTTATAGAGAAGTTCTGTTTTATAACTGAACTTGTTGAGCTTTGGGAACAACTTGATTCAGCTACATAAAAGCGGTTTTAATGAAAAAACTAAGATGCTCGACTTTGAATTTTTCATTAAGGTAAATGTTTTCCAGTACTATAATTGCGGTCTAACGCTTGAAAAAAAGCCTGTTTAGTTCAATTATTTCCCCTTTTCGGCTGTTAAACGTAGAACAAAAGGGAATAATGAAAATACAGAAACTAAAGATTTCCGAGCATTTTTTGATAACTTCTCATAAAAATCTCACAAACTGGTAAGTGCACATCAAAATCATCAAAAGCGTCTATTGTTTAGAAACGCAAAATATGATAAAGTTTCTAGCGCTTAAAATTCATCAGTAAAGTGGAAAAAATACATTTTTCAGATCAACAACACTCGTATCTTCTTCAGAATAATCACTAAACAATAATTCTCGATGAGGGTTTGAGCTCAAAATCAACGATGGAAAAATGTTTAAGAAACTCATTATAATTTATGTCTTAAAGAAATAAATCTAAATCAGATTCTTCAACTATTACAAAGACTCAGCAGATCAGAAAACGCTAAAGCCATTAAGTGAGTACACCATATAGGGCGCTTCTGACAAACTCCAAGATCCATCATAGAAAAAGAGGTACGACGATGGCATTAATCGTTTCCGGAATACGTAGAATCCAAACAATATGTGTACAGCGAATATACAACACACTTTCAAAGTATAAAAAGAGAGCTAAAAAGGATAAAGAAAAAGATTAATGTTCTTATTAAAACACTTGACCGACTGTTTTCATAAAAAATTGCCTAAATGTCCAACTTCCATCTATAAACGCTAGAGCACCAGTGGTGGTAGAACTATTCTTTCACGTTGCCAATACACTACAGGAATTAAATTTCACTGCAAAACAGAATAGTGTACTTGAACTCACTTTTAATCTCTTGTTCTTTTGCTATTAGCAAAAGAACGAGAAGAATTTTTTGCCTATAGAGCTTGGATTTCGAACAAAATCCGACTTTCGAATTTTGAGTCCCAATGAATTTTCCTGCCTTGAGATATTGAGACTCGAATATTTCATCTGAAGGTGAGGGTGAGGGTCAGATGTTCGAGTCTCAATATCTCAAGGCAGGAAAATTCACTGGGATCGAATTTTTTCCCGTCGTACTACTATAACCATGGGCTACTAGTGTGGCAAGTTTCAAGTCAACATTCGAAAGTCGGATTTTGCTCGAAATCCAAGCTCTATAGGCAAAAACTGACTAAAAATTCAATATCCCAGCAACAAAGCACCATGGGGATGAACCAACTTAGGGTATTTCACTACTCACTGAGATCTACAAGATACAAGTAGTCCGAGTTCAAAAGCGATTTATAACCTCAAGAGGTTCCCTCGTTAGAGAAGAAAGAAGTTTTTTTTCTCGGTGATAAAGCGTCCCAGAAAATTTTTTCCGAAAAATTTAATTCACTCATTTCTCGCTAATTATGACACCTAGAAAAAACTTCCAAGGGCAAAAAGATAGAGCGTTTGTCCAAATATATGTTCTGCTATTTGAATTTGCCAAAAGTTCACTTTTGTTTTTTCACGTAATGTCCACGTGGTTGTCCACTGTGCGGAGTTAAGATACAGAAATCACCCAATCTATTCAGTTATCTCTAACGAGGTACGACAACTCCATGAACATGATCAAAAATTAGGTTGTGTTTTGATCGATTTCACTCGATTTTTAGTACAAAATTTTGCAACAAACGAATCACATTCTTTTTTATTTTAGTTTTTATCTGCTCCGTATTCTAAAGGACTCTGCCGGACTGAAAAATGCGAAAGTACCAACGAAAAAGCATTTGAGAACAAACATTTGTAGATCAAACAGAGTTAAAAAATGAGAGTTTGAATAATCATAATTGAATTTTCTATGATATGATGCTATACTACTAGACAAGACAATCTGCTTTAAGATAGTTTCGATTTAGCAGAAACGAGTATAGTCCAGGTACCAGCGCATTAGATGGTTGCTGTATGGGCACATTAGCCTATAGTACGGTTCCTACTTCTACAATGATAGTATTTGTCAATGATTAGTTCGTTACTATTTAATAGATCATATTCCATACAGAGGTAATATTTTGTAGTAACATATTAGACCTATCTTTCTCAGGCAATAATTCAACATTAAAATTCCCATTTTGGTTCAAATCAAACTTGCATTTTGTTTTAATTAAGGGCCCCCCCCCCCCTCAGAAATGGTGATTTTCGGTCAAAAAATCGGTTTTAAGATACACACATGGAAAGATAGCCTGAAGTGTCTACTTCCAGAATCTGTATTGCTTTTGG